GAATTTTCGATAAGCAGTTTTTCAAGATAGGGCAATTCCATTTGGAACACTTAACGATATGTAAAATTGAAATGGTTTCTCCAAGTATAATTAGAATGATCAAGTCAAGGAGGATGAGGTGGGCAGGGTATATAGCAAAATGGGGGAGAAGAAGAGTACTTATAGGATATTGGTGCGAAAGCTGGAAGGAACGAAACCACTGGGAAGACCAAGATGTAGGTGGGTGGACAATATTAAAATAGATCTTAGAGAAATAGGGTTTGATGGAATGGATTGGACTGATGTGGAGGACCGGTGGAGGGCTCTTGTGAACAAGGTAATAAACTTACTTACTTACTTACTTACTTACGTACTTACGCTTACTTACTTATTTACTCACTCAAGGAGCTGAGCCCTTCTTGAGGAGCCGCAAATTCTGCAGCTACTCAAGAACTTCCCAGCATTTTATGGAAGCCGAAAGTTCATTACCGTGTTCACAAGAGCCCTCCACTGGTCCCTGTCCTGAGCCATACTATTCTATCCTATCTCTTGAAGATCCATTTTAATATTGTCCGCCCACCTACGCCTTGATCTTCCTAGTGATCTCTTCCCTCCTGGCTTTCACACCAATATCCTGTATGTATTAATCTTCTACCACATTCGTGCCACGTGCCCTGACAACCTTATCCTCCTTGACTTGATCTTGATAATAAACTTTGGGGTTCCATAAAGTGCTGGGAAATTCTTGAGTAGTGGCGGCTTCTCAAGGAGGACTCAGCTTCATGAGTGAGCGAGTAAATTATGCATTTGAACTAAAATTCAGAAAGTTTAGAATGTAATGCTTTGTGAAATATTAAGAAGTAGGCTAATCGAACTAACTTTATGGAGCAAAGTCATTGTTACCTACTTATTATATCTTACTTAACAACTTTTCCGACTGCTAGGAATATATGATATCGTATGATGATTATGATTACTGAATAATGTATAGGAGGGGATGTGGAAGGAACCGGTCGAAGTCTAATGTGAGATTCAAGCCCGGAATTTGCCTTACGGAGCTGAGTAAATCCTTGAAGAATCTCAGACAGTGTAGTCAGTTTTCGGTTCCGGATTTCAACACAGTATCACTGAAATGTGGAGCAGGAATGCTAGTCACTGAACGAATATATCTGGAGATTCTTGCTAAGGGAGCTTAATGTCACTCACCAGTTAAATAATTGTGTTCAGAAGATCCTGCCGCTACACTATAATTTTAGCCATCTGAATCCAGTGTGATTGAACTTTCGTGCTTATAGATATAAGCTTATAGATATATAGATATTTATTTCGAAAAATTATTTTGAGTGAAATGATATATGAAAAGAAAATTAATAGAATATAACTCGGACTTTAAGAAAAAATTAATATTCAAGTTTCAAATTGACGTCCTTTAACTTTCTTCGAATAGTATCTTTAAAACGAGGAAATAACTGTTCTCCTTTTACTGTTGTCAGTGAACTCCTTCAAGCCTGTGTTCAGGCTACCAGTCTGGCTCGGGTGCTTGGCAAGTTGCCGCAATAGCATTGAACTCTAAACGACTTCGGAAGTTTGCAAAAAAAGAACGCTCATACAAAGGACCTTAATTATCACTATAATTCTAAAAAGAAACCATCAGCGTTCTAGGGCAATGAATTAATGATTCTTCGCCTTCAGAGAGAATTCGTCACGGTAGCCGCGAGGTCTAAGGCATGCACTGTCTTCGCTCGCTCGGAAGCCGGGATCGTGGGTTCGAATCCCATTCAGTGCATGAATGTTTAGTGGTTGTTTGTCTGCATTTTTCTGTGTTTGTTTAGATCGCGAGGCCTTGCGACGAGCTGATTACCCGCCCAAGGAGTCCTACCGAAAGTCTAAGATCTAGTAAATATATTAGTGTTTGTAGCAAGCAAAGTAGCTCAATTGGCATGCACTGTCTTCGATCGCTTGGAAACCGGGATCGTGTGTTCGAATCCCACTCAGGGCATGGATGTTTAGTTTGTGTGTGTGCGTTTTTCTGTGTTTGTGTACAGGTAGAGGCCTTGCGACCAGCTGATCACCCGCCCAAGGGGTCCTACCGAATGTATAAGATCCAGAAAACCCGAAGTGAACGGAGATGTTCATGGAGGCAGGCCTAGGCCCACTGGGGCTGAAGTGCCAAAGAAAAAAAAAGACGTTGCAGTTGTTCTTAATTGAACACAAATTAATTAAGATGTATGAGAAAGGAAGGTATATCTCCTAATATTGTTGACTTCGGTACTAGGTGAATGTAAGCTCTCAGCATTACCCTCTGGCCTCTTTACCCCCAGACAAATAACTGCCATTGTCTTTTGGATAGGAGACTTGCTGGACCCTGTAACAAGATTGGACGATGTGGTGAACAGACAAATTTTTTCCCCTGTCGAGAAGCGAACCTCTATTTCTTGGTTGTTCATCTACAACCTATTCGCAATACTGGCTGATCTGTACCGAACCCTGTACTTCATGTTTGTACTGTTTGAATGTATTGATATTAGGAATGATAATTCACGATTCTCAGAGTCTTTCAAGCAATTCTGGAACATAGAATATGCAGTTAACTTGCACAGACTGACAGTGACTCCCGCTTTATAAGCGGAACATTTAAATCAGTTAACTATAAAAGAGCATATATTAAATGTCTAATGAGAGAACATGTTCCATCTGCTAAGTAACTTTTCAGTTATGATTTTTGGACTTTTTTTTTTTGTTTCTTGTGGGGTGAGGGGAGATTGAGTCCACTTGGTACGTCGGCCACTAATTGACCTGCTGTACCAGCCCCGGATGATAGGTAATGATTGTGGAGCAGTCGTAGGAATGAGAATTGGCAGGGAAAACCGAAGTAGCCGGACAAAACCTGCCTCAGTGCCACTTATCCACCAAAAATCCCACATTACCGGACCACCACTGTGGGAAGTTAGCGCATTTTTATTTTAAATTAATAGTACTTTCATCTTAAAACCATGTATGTTTTCAAACGTCAGGATTATTTTCTGACATCTCAACAAAAATAAATCAGGCCTGTGAAATGTCTAATAACGGTAATAATCCTATTTTGAGAACAGTAATAATTCAGGAATTTCTAAACCATTATAAATGTTACATGTAAGTAGGTAGTTCGTGATGTTATCGAGACTAAATGAACTGTAGTTCAGAACTGCTGGAAGGATGCCAGCTACTGCATGTGTTGCAGCAATCTTATCCTTGCGGCTACATGTCAAGCGACATAGCAGTCCCATTCGTCTGGTCCCACGGGAGCAGATACGAACGAAACACGAAATTCCACGATTTCAGATCGGTTTGTTCAGATTTGTACTTACCCTCCTTTTTTGTGCCGACACAACACTGTAGTGTGAAGCCATAGAGATCTTTATAAAATCTCAACCTTAACAAGAATCATTAGATATGTAGGAAGCAAATTAAAACGGACAAGTTCTTCAACAACAGTTATTCTCACAGAATTACAATTTGTTAAATATTAGATTGTCCTCTCGGCTGTTTATTTAGGTCTACTCTTACTTCAACATTAGCGGCCTCCGTAGTCTAGGGGTAACCTTCCTACCTCATGACTCAAGGTACGCGGGTTCAAACCCGGCGGAGGTCGTGGAATTTTTAAGAGCGGAAAAATTCAGGGAACAAGTCCTCCGGGAGGGACTTTAAGCCGTGGATCCCGTGTCGTAGCTTTACGGCACGTAAAAGAAGCTCATGTCTCTAGGAGACCTGAGCAAAATTAGGCAAAATGTTTCCCGCCCAAGTAGTTTCCAATGCCTCCGGTAGATGGGGACGTTATCGGGTACCACTGCCAGTAGAGGGCCGACCTCGCTGGCAGAAAGGGGGAGATAGCGGGCACCAGTATCGGTAGGGTATGGCGACAGTAGAAATTAAAGGGGGACGTACAATAGACTGTCAGTCGCGATGCATGGGGAAACCCACCCGCTCTATACTGAATAACTGAATACTTCAACATTCACCATAAACTTTGAACAAGTTTCAGTCTTTTACTTTCGATAAGTTTTGCTTACTCTAGGCGTTTCATGTTACTGGTTTTATATCCTACGTTCCATTACAAGAGCTCTGTCCAATGAAAGCCAACTGACGTTTTGGAGGAACATACTGTCTTCGTATTCATGTTAGAAGAGTGAGCCAAGAAAAAAATAAACGGAAACAGGTGCAAGAGAGTGAAGGTTGTCACCACCAGTATTCCTGTGAGTGGTTAGACGGCTCGAGGGGAATACAGGGGAAGCACTTTTCAGTGAGGAGTACAAGTGCTCGAGAGTATTGTTGAGAGAGGTGTGTGGGAATGATTCTGTGGTACATCTTTCCGTGGCCTCAGTATAGTAAATAAATATCACTTCGTGCTACACCTTCACGCTCTTGTACGTGTGCCTTTATTTGAGTTATATGTTCATTGTTGCATACTTTACAGGAGGACTTTAATTGTTTTTTGCATCCTGTTGTGTATTTAATTAATATTAGAGTTAATTTTACCGACCACACAACATATTATTACACTACATGTTTCGACCTCAAGAGGTCATCCTCAGATGTATGAACACAGCTTTATAATTACACGCAATGACATTTGTCTTTTCACTTATTCGATCCTGTATCTTATTCAGGCCCACGCTCAATAATAAATTTTAACTTTTGACATTTAGAATAATATTTTAACTTGTGTTTTGTGAGACGAGCTTGATATATTATTGAGCGTGGGCCTGAATAAGATACAGGATCGAATAAGTGAAAAGACAAATGTCATTGCGTGTAATTATAAAGCTGTGTTCATACATCTGAGGATGACCTCTTGAGGTCGAAACATGTAGTGTAATAATATGTTGTGTGGTCGGTAAAATTAACTCTAATATTAATTAAATACACANACAGGAGGACCTCGAGGATTCAAAAGAGTCTTCCTGTTAAGATATTAGAAAGACGAGATAAAAGAGCGTACAGCGTTTTGGAAATCTCTGTATTGTTTTGTCTGTTTGCAGCCCTCAAGACGCATAGTGGTGACCCATTCGACTCCCTTCCTAAAAGCTTTTGGTACGAATTTTCGTCCCCATTCACTGAGTCATATGACGATCTGACAGAGCCGGAGCCCAGAACCACGCCGGATCCATTACCGTTCTTCGAGGACCACGCCAATTCGACGAATGTGACGACCCAATTGGGCAGCGCAGTGTTTCTGCACTGCAAGGTGCAGGATCTGCGGGACAGAACCGTGAGTTACGCTGTTCTTCAGCTTCATATTATTCTCGCTGTCTGTTTCTTATTTTCTTTTCATTTTTACGAAATATTTTATCGAAACGTCATGTCATGCATTTAAATAAGTTCTACCAATACAAATGTATGTATAGAAAATAAAAAACTTAACTCCGTGGCCTATATTCCTCAAACGAAGTATACCGACCGAGCGACAGCCGCTTGTCGGCGAAGTTAGTACCACCTTTTACGGATAGAGGTTGTCACGTGCTCAGCGTAACTGATTCTCACGGCCGTTAATATCGGTTTTCTAGACTGGAGCCGCTATTTCCTTGAAACTGTACAAACAACGAAACAAACTCCGTGGTTTTAGTCCACAAGCGAACTATACCGACCGAGCGACCGCCGCTTGTCGGCGAAGTTATTGCCAACTTGTGCGGATGTGTCGCGTGGTCTGCGCAACAGATCCCCAGGATGTTAATCTCGGGTTTATAGACCGGAGCCGCTATTTCCTTGAAATATTTCCTCAATTATCCTCGCGGGGCTGAGTGGACCCCGTTCCAGATCCACTACTTCTCAGAAAATTTGGCAGCGCCGGGAATCGAACCCGGACATCTGGATCTGTAGGCAGGAACCCAGACCATTAGACCACAGAGGCTGTCCGATCAATACAACTGTGTGTATAAATAATTATTTTTTCAGTTAATACGCTACTTATTTTGGCCTATCTGGCAGTTATCTGACTAATCTTGCGTTTGGTATTCACACGTGGTTTATCTGCTGTACATTGGTCGGTGTTCACAGTTGGAGTCTAGATATCGTGACAGCTACAACAATTGTATTGTTCTTGAGAAAATGTTTTTTTATTTCGTTCTTTTTCTACTCCTGTCTTTCTTCTCTGATATCTCATAAAGGAACATGTTTCCTGTACAGTCTTTGACGTCTTAGATGCGCAGGCAGTTGCAAAAGTAGATGTGTGAATCTCGCAGAAAAAACAGAGATTGCTTGAAAGTATGACTTATCTTTCATTTCCAAAATGCATTTCTTTGCCATTATTTGATTGGAATACTGCTTTTATAAATAACATTTCTTACAGTGTTCAATTAATTTCTTACTCAAAGATCTATGGTTCCTTTCCTCAAGAATCATATAAGTACAAGGAGATGTATTAGCCTCTTAATAATGTGCATCTGTTACAAATAAGATATTTAAATGTATATAAAGTATGCAGTCTGCACAACAATAGTCTCTATTTAGAAAACAAAAAAGATACTACTGTATCAACATTTGTTTATGTTGCGTTTGTAAAAACAAAATCTAAGGTCTAGTGGCCAGAGTTCCTGGCTACACATCCAGAAGTATCGGGTTTGATTCCCGGCACTACCAGATGTTTCTGAGAAGTAGTGGATCTGGAACGGGGTTCGCTAAGCATCGTGAGGACAATTGAGGAGCTATTTCAAGGAAATAGTGGTTCCGGTCTAGAAAACCGAGATTAAAGGCCGTGGGAATTTGTTGCGCTGACCACGCGACACCCTCTATCCGCTAAAGTTGGCACTAACTTCGCCGACAAGCGACGGTCGCTCGGTCAGTATAGTTCGCTTGCGGACAATAGGCCAAGGAGTTTCGGAGTTGATACAATAGTGTCTTCTTTGTTTTTAAATACAGAATATTGATTTGTAGACTGCATACGTTATATACCTTTATATACCTTAAATGTATTTAGACATTTTGACGACAAACGAAATATAACAGAATCATATATGAGATTGCAGACAGATGTAATATCCACTACAACAATGAACTCTGTAATGTAACTTCACACTGGAGTTAAAACTGGTATGTAGTTGGTTCACGGTATGATTTGAAACAGTTCCTTGTTTTGTGTGCACTATATTTACGGGATTTATGTCAGAGGCCCTGGGAACGGAGGTAGCTCCCAGGGACACGTATTCAGACAGAACTAGACGCAGGTGTGAGAAGTATCAGAGGCGAAGAGGAATGAATCCGCTTTGCATTGCTGCAGTATGCATAATGTATGCAGTAGAATGCGGTCAGGCATTGTGGAAAAGAAGACAGAGTTTGAATGACCGGAATTTCAAGGACATGAAAGAAAGAAGCAAAAAAAAAAAGGCTTCCTGGATACAAATTCCGCAGTGAGAAATCCAGGCAGGCAGAATAGACTGAACTCTCTTACATTAACTAAAGCATGATATATTTAGTCTCTATGGAAAAGCTGTGAAATTGAAACTTCTATATTATTATATTATTATCACGTAATCTTATTGTTAGAAAAGGGGTATACAGGACACAGAAAATAATAAATTGGAAAATGAAAAAGGAACTGAGTTATGCACCGAGGAATGAAAACAGAATTAAAGGAACATGTTAGTAGTAAATAAACTTATTGAAGAGGTTGGATGAGAGAACAAATAATGGGTCTCGTCATAATGGAATATGATCATTTGCTAGGCAACGGCTAGGCAAGCCGCTGCTTGGCAATAGCTATTGTATACTTGTTTATTTTTCGGTCGTTACATATAAGTGTGTCTGAGTGCCACAATATACAGTATATATATGTTGGAAAATATGTAATATTTAGTTATATGTAATTATAAAAGCCAGAGACACTAGCATAGAACAAAACTTCTCTGTGCTGCATTTTTCTGACACATAAACGTTACAAATATAATCTATATTCACTTTCACCGTTGATAAATCAATCATAGTGGTGTATACAAAACTATAATTTTGCCTGTGGTTCTGTATGGGTGTGAAACTTGGTCTCTGACATTAAGGGAGGAACATAGCCTGAGGACGTTTGAGAACAGGGTGTTGAGAAGAATATTTTGACCGGAGAGGGATGAAGTGACTGGAGGTTGGAGAACACTGCATAATGAGGAGCTCCATAATTTGTACTCTTCTCCAAGTATAATTAGAATGATCAAGTCAAGGAGGATGAGGTGGGCAGGGCCTGTAGCATGAATGGGGGAGAAGAGGAATGCATATAGGGTATTGGTGGAAAAGCCAGAAGGAAAGAGACCACTGAGAAGACTAATGGACAATATTAAAATGAATCTTAGAGAGATAGGATGGGGTGGCATGGATTGGATTAATCTGGCTCAGGATAGTGACCTGTGGAGGGCTCTTTGAACACTGTAATGAACATTCGGTTTCCGTAAAATGTTGGAAAATTCTTGAGTAGCTGCAGATTTGGCTTCTGCTAAAGAGGGGCTCATCTCCATAAGTAAGTAAGTAAGGGGTGTATTGGTGTGTTTGTTATATAAAAGTTTTCGTTTGAAGAAAATGAACATACATTATATGTGTATTAAGAAATATTACGGTATATGGCAACTGAAACTATGTAAACAGTCAATTCAAAGCGCGTTTCGTTGGGTAGTAGGAATGGGTATAAGATAAATTGGATATACAATCAAACAATATCAATTGCAGCTGCGTTCTCTCAGTCTGATATGATTTATTCTAGGCTTGGTAATGCATTGCACATTTTTTACTTAATAAAATTTTGCCCAGTTATGAAGGTCCCATTACTCTTGTAAAATAGTTGATGTCAGTCATGTTGATGGATTTCCCAGCTAACAAGGATACTTAATTACCCTACTAGTGACATATACAATCAGCCATAATTTGCCGTCCTCATTAAATGCCTCAATAAATACCGGGGAGGGGGTTGTACTTGAAAGAGGAGTCCCTTAAAATGATTATCAAAAGGTTCAGAATTATACATGTACTTAAAGAGAATATGCAGTGAACATATCCGCAGAATATTGAAAAGTAAATACCGTCCCGTGTTGCCTATGTAACGGGATTATAAATTCACCCAGGTCTCGGATTTAGCGAATAAGTTTACTGGCCAATCTCTTCTACAATTCCCAGTACAATTATCAACCACTTATAACGTCGTCAAACGTTTCTTGTAACACTGCTATAGTTACTTTTTGCACCGCTGATCTCGGTTAAGTCTTCATGTCCCTCGGAGCTACCTGAAGACTGGCTGCTCCTCTAAGGTCAGTTACAAACTGCAAATTGCTAACTTCACTCGTCTGCCAAGTCCAAGTCACTTTGCGACTGACGGTCGGTCAGTCAGTCAGTCAGTAAGTCTTGGTGTCGAGCCCCATCTGGGGCTCATGACCAGATATTTAATATTACAATTCGACAGTTAGGTCTTGTTTCTGTGGGGCGCCCTCTCTCACGAGAGGACGGGTCTGTCTTTTGAATATGCTGCTGGCCCTTGCCAGCTCTAATTCAAGCCAAGTCCAAATCCAAGTCACATTGCGACTGATGTTCACTCAGTCAGTAAATCTTGGTGTCGAGCCCCATCTAGGGCTCAAGATCAGATATTTATTACTGTTTGGCATTTACGGTCTTGTTTTTGTGTGGCGCCCTCTCTGACGAGAGGACCGGTCTGCCTTTTGTATATGCTGCTGGCCATTGCCAGTGCAGTCATTCTCGGGTCTGAGTCCGAGGATGACTACACTGGCAAGGCGTGTTGAAATTGGAGTCTTTTATAACCTGCTTTCGGACGGAATAGAGAGCACCATGTAGGAGTCTTTGGTCTCGACCGCTGTTATGCAAAGAAACTTTTGTTGTCATTTCATCTCCGGGGTAAATAAAGTCACGCAAAATATTATTTCATATTGTCATATTCAGTTTTACTAGAACTATTACGGCCTTATCTAAAAGTGTGTGTTATTATTAACCTTTGAATTTTACTTTTGAAAACATCCTACTGTATTTTTAGCTACTACGCAACGGTTTATATACTAACAATGGCAGTAGAAAGTGTGTTAATTTTTATCGAAAGCATTAATCTCAACAAAATGATCAGTTTATTTTCACATTATCCATAGTCCAAATTTTTGTCTGGGACGAAATTTCGGTTCAAAAGTGGGTACTAATTCCAATGATTGTGCCTAATAAAACGGGCTTTTTGACTCAGGAAGGAAAAAGCACAGTCTACGAAACGCTGCCCGAAATAAAATTACAATGATGTATAATGTA